CTTACCCATTTGATAGCTTCTGATTCGCTCCCCCGTTCACTTAATGTTTAGCCCGTATGACGACCGCGTTTTTTCTCCGCCCTCGCCTCCAACACCCTTTAAAGACTGCCATGGGTTTGGCACAGCAAACAATCCGAGGCCCAAGCAATGCTCCAGTCTCCATCCGGGAGACCCCGGTCCACCGGCGGTGATAACGGTAGCTGCCCCGGGTCTTCCATCCTTCATGACACACCCACCTCTTCCCCGAACAAAAAGCAAAAGCAACAACGCCAACGCAACGCGCCATTGTTGAAGGATTTGAATAACACTGATAATACAAAAAGAAAGAGGCTGGCATCGGGTTCGGGTGACGCTTCCTCCACCGACGCCGACCTCGATGACGAAGAGAGTGACGACGCCAACGATGAGGATGACGCTGAAGAAGATGAGCCCGCTGTTTTGGCCCCGTCTTATGGTGGTAAAGGAATAAACCGTAAGGCGGGGCTCAAACTCGGCCCGTCATATTCTAAAAGAGGGAAGAAAGTCAAGCTCGAGGAGAGTGGCTATGGTGATAACAACAATGCTAGCGAAGATGAGTATTCTGCTGGCATGATAAGCTCCGTGTCTTCCGTCAGCTCCGCCAGTGCTGATGGCTCGGTTGCCTCGGAGGATTCTGATGCAGAATACGAGGGGGTGGATGATGTATCTGACGACGATGACCTAGAAGTTGAGAAGCTCGAAGAGGAATTGATACTAGACGAGTATGAACGGGACTGCGTTGGCGTCGCTTCTGGAGCTCGGGGCCTTGGAGACGAGTGGAGTGGTTTCGATGACTTGGAAAGTCGACCTCTATACTCTGCTGGTTCATTCTTTGATGATGAACAGATTCTTTTACAATCTGCGGCAACCGAAGTTGTCATCGACGTGAACTTGACAAACGAGCCCGTCGAGACGCCGGTGCCTAGGAGAGTCCATTTTGCAGAATCCGAGGACGATTCATCAGACTCGGATAGGACAACTGATGATGAATTGCTTTCTGATTTCCTACAACAGGACAGTCTTGATCCTGACCTAAGGCGCATGATTGAAAATGACGGGGATACGCCCAAACGCCCTCGAAACCCGCATGATCTCTTTGCAACCAACGATTTCTACGAGCTTCCGAGCAATATCTACCACGTGGAATCTGACAGTGAAGTTGGCTGCTCCAGTGGCTATGAGTGTAAGTGGCCTGGGCCTACTCAAATGAACAATTTACTGACTCATTTGAAGCTGATGGCGGGGAAACTACGGATGAAGAGGACTATCCTCCACCTGCTACAATAACTCACCCAAGGTCCATCCTTCGTCGTGACTCTAGTGCATCTTTGTCGCCTGATGATGAAGAGAGAGATCAGCAATCACGACCGACGCGTAGGCGCGGTCCACTTCGAGGCACATTCATAGCCGATCCGCATAAACCTGTAGCTGTTGTGGCTCCCAATGGCAAGCAACTGATTGTGATCCCCCCATACGCTTCTTATCGACACGATTGGCTTGAATCGGCAGCCAATAGCTTAGCAAATACTGCTGCAAACAGTCCTGGGGCGACAAACGCTGCCGACGACAGTGATACTGATGCCCTAGTATCCCCTAGCCGCCAGGTCCTTAGCCCCATGTTGAGCTCCGCCGCAAATCTTATGATCACCGCCGTCGTCGGGAACGATTGCGGAGGCCAAGTGACTGGTCCTCCCGAAGCGTTCTACCCGAATGAAAAATATATTCTCGATGCTTTCGAGGATGACGATGAAGACGAGGACAGTGAAGCAGCTCTTAACGTTGATGACTTTATTGACTTTGGCAACGGCTCTTCCGACGGTGAAGAGGACAAGGCAATGGATGATGTGGAGGAATTAGCGTCTCCTCTCGCTGCTTCATCAGTCAATGTCGATCTAACCCCGACTCCGCAACGTATTGCCGAAATCTCACAGCCCAATAGCGCCGAACGTCTTTTGAACCATCTCGATCGCGGAATTGTTACGGCGTTCCGTCGAAACCACACGCGGTATCAAACGCTAATTCGTTTACCGCATCACCGGGAATTCATGCCCGCGAATTCACCTTCTCGTCTCGCAAGCGCTTTCAGACGCTCGAAATTGGCTGATACTCGAACTCCACCACGCAAGCGCAAAGCTAGCAATTATCTAGGCGGTGAGGCCGTTCGAAGAAAACTGCTTGATTCGCATCGGAGAAATACAACTGCAGCGTAAACAAATGCTTGCTGTTTGGCCTCAATACACCCTCATATTATAAGGCAGCGCCAATGGAAAATAAGCTCTGTTTCTACCTGACCGTTTTCTGTCACACCATCGCGTTAGCAGCCTCTGATCAGCCAGACCAATCAATCTACAATTGAGCAATAATCGCCAGCAGAAACCAAAAATATTGGGATCGTGATCGGGCTTGGTCTATGTCTGTGTATCTTGCTCGACCTTCATCTTATGTCTGAGTCTGCGCTATGATATCAAAAAGATTGAAATATGTCTTGTGAAATTCATTACACGCCAGATGCACAAAATTCCTTTGTTGGATTATGCCTAGGCACATTTGCAAATAAACCAGACATTTGTTTCTGTGTGCGTGTGTGTCTTATGAATGAGTTCTCTATGTTCATATGCATGATTTATGGCTCCTTTTTATTATTTAATGCTTGTTTGGTTTTGCATTTTTGCTTGTTTTTAAATACTCGCTTGTTTACGCAATGCTTTCTTACCCCCTCTCAACCCTGCCAGCAGGTACAGAAGACGATTTTCACGCATAAATTACCCTCCCGCCAATTTGAAACCCCTGGCCGAAATGCGCACTGGCCTCGCCACATGGGCTACTATGCATCAGCTTCGGGTTATTATATTGTTATCTGCTGTTGAGTTTGCGGGTGAGTGTGGGGTTTATTGTATCGAATCGAATGTTCGCTATCGCTTTCCTGTTGTTTTACAGGCGTGAATGGAGCAAAAGCAAAAAAAAAGGGAGATAATTTCTCGAGTCGATGAACTCGAGCTGTAAGTGTAGTAATGACTATTGACTTATGAATATCAAATGCAAAGAGTTTTATTTTTCACTCAGTTGTACATCCTTGTCCTACTGCATCATTTTTAGTGAGCCATCAAATCCGCTCTGTAGGGTCAAATTGCAGAATCATTTGCATACCATTACAAGTTTGAATGGATGTAGAGACTGTACAAATATTTACTTGCACATATTGGGTATAGAACAGTGAATGGCAAGGAGCCAGTATAAACTGCAAGAGTAGTACTAATAATCATACCAACAAAGAAAGAAAAAGAGAATATAGAAGTAGGGAGAAAACAAAGCCAGTAACCATGTCATAATATATATGCAATGCCCGGTTTGGCCCAGGCCCACCTTGGGGCCATCATATGATCACTTTAGCAAGTAGGAGCTGGGGATGAACCCCAGGCCCTTTTGCTATTGTCACGCAAAAAAAAAGGGCTAATACCATGGAAAAGGGTCCATAATAGAAACTCCCTATGCATTTTGGATCTAAAATCTCCAGGAGGTTGTTTAGTCCATGCCGGTTATTGTTTCGAACATCCGGTTCCTGGGACTATTGAGGGGAAAAGAAGGTTTTCCCGTTAGTCAACACATGGGCCTTTGTTCAAGCGAGCTCAAAAGTATGTTTGGACAAAGAGGATGAGAACAGCCTATCATGAAGTAGTTTTGCGCTTGATGACTTCAACGACCATGGGAGAATCTATCTCCTCATTTTTCCTGCAGGTTAAGTAGGTCCTGACTGGTTTTGCAGTGCTATATCTCGGAACCAGTTTAGTCAGAAAATACCTCTCTGTACAACATGGATGGTTGTTAGAAAGACAAATTGGACTTACACATTCCCAACAGCAAGAGGTGATCTCAAAAAGGCCATCTGCCTCACCAAACCCCGCTTTCTCAGGGCCTGTGTCAACGTGTCCTCCTTCACATCCAACCGCAAGACCTCCACCACCTCCTGATACGTCATCTGACGATTCTGTATCGAGGAGGTTATAAAGGCCTCAATCTCCTCTAGTTTCTCGTCCGTGAGCCGTCTGGCTCTCCCTGGGCGGCGCTTGGGAGACGCAGAGCGCTTTTGGCAGGTGTACTGCACGGCGCCGAAGGGGAGGTTGAGGTGTTTGCAGATCTGGTGGTAGGTGTGTCCGAGACTGCGCATAAGAAGAATATCGCGGCGTTGGTCGCGGGTGAGGCAGTGGCGGTGCGGTTTGGCGGATCGAGAGGGTTCGGGGATAGGGGGTGTGGATGACGGGTTGGATGAGGGGATGGTGGTGAATGGGAGCGGTAGGGAGGGAAGTGATGGTGGTGGCGGCGGTTGTGTGGGCGTGGCTATCTGGGCGTCCGGGGATTCTGGCCCTAATGGTGATAGTCCATGACTGTGGTGGAAGAGTGGAGTGCTCGCTGAGGAGCTGGGTTGCTTGAGAGGATTCTCCGAAGGGGGAAAAGCTGTGACAGCTAGAGGGGTTGTCGCGGCGGTGGAGGAAGCTGGGGATAGGGGCGAGTCCATTCTCGATGGTAGCTATTCCGTAGGATGCTGCACTTGGTGACTCGGGCCGGCCAGGGGCAAGCGTGTGTACATGGGACTCGAGATACCGTCCAGGCACTGACTGGCTGCATGAGAGGCGACATCAGCCCGACCAGTCTTATCAAGAATTGGGATGTATGCTTGCCGAACGCAATGCAAGTTCGCCAAAATAGCAGGGCAAAAGCGGAACGTGCCAATGGGGATGCATGAGTCTACCTTGAAAAGAGAATAACTCCGAAGCCAATGGCAGCCTCACCAGCCAGGTTTCCTCGAGAACTGGGCTGGGTCGCGGCGGCGCGAACGCAAATCCTTTGACAGTAGAGCCCTTGCGATCAAACTGAGCTAGAGCGAGTAGTTTCAAAGTGAGACCTCGCGAGCAGAATTGCCTTTTGGCCGGTGGACTGCGGTTGCGAGGGCTGATACCTGGGCGCGAGGTTCGCAAAGCCCAGCTCACTAACTCGTTAACAATGTGGAGTTGGCGCTAACAGTATCTGCACAAGACGCAGATCGCGAGATCTTGTCTCGTGGGTGTAACCACGACAGGGCAGCAACAGTGAGTGCGATTTGCTTGATATCGGCGGTTAACAGGAGACGTCGTCTGGCTGACTGATGGGCGATCGAGGATGACATCAAGGATACATCCGCTCGGGCGGTTAGCCAGGCAGCAAACCAGGTTCCGCCCAGGTCACTCTTGATCCCAGCTGCTATTTTGGGCCTGGTGCCGGTCTTACATAAGCCACCCGCCATTCAAACCGGCTTCAACATCCTCGCGCTCTCGTCAACACCAACATTCGACGACAACAACTTCACAAGCACCATCTGCAACAGCGGAATCGACGCGATTGTGCCCTCTAGCGGCATCCACAGGCCACCGCTGGTGTCAGATCGTCTCACTTCCCCGCTGGCGAGCCCACTGCCACGTTTTAAACATCCTCGCTTGGCCCTTTAGCCCCAGCCAAGACGCCCTGTTCACTGCAGCCTCGCCAGCGATTGGTCTCGCTGCTGGCCCCTTGATCCAGCGTGCCTCGGAGTTTTCGAGTGTTGATAGTCTGCCAGATGGGTCCCTGGGGCAAAGAGAAAAATAAAAAATAGAAAAGCTTTTCCGTGCATCATAATGGCTCACAGTGAAGCTGATCTGTGGAAAGTTTGTCGACATTTCTCCATTTGCTCCCTCGCTTCCGGGGTTCTGATTCGTGGGAATCCACCGATGCTGGGCGGTTCGCTGAGAGCTCTGGAAGCAGGTCATGCAGGGGCTTCTTAAAAATAGCCGTCCGACCTGTTGTGGTTTCAACTACAAGAGTGGTGGACACGGCGCTAACCTCCAGATACACAACTTGAGCCAATGTCGGGACTTGAACAGAGAAACCTAGTCGTTTCATGCTCTTTTGCCCACCTTTCGAACTATCAAGTCATAGCGTTTGAACTCGCACCAGCGCGCGCTCGTGATCGTGCCCGATGTCAACCATTGGCTACCCGGTGTTTTCGGTTCCTGACTAGCCAAGTGAGCAAGTTTAGCATCAGATGCAAGCTCTCTCCCATTTTAGCCTGAACTGAAGTTTCGGCTTTCGAATCCCGGTTCTGGACTGGTGAGATGTCGTACTTTCAAACTCGCCACCATGCTGAAGCCGCTCTCCGGGGAGGCCATCGTCAACAGAACATGCATAGTTGCCCTTCCAGCCTGGGGGCAAAATTTTTGGCCAGCAATCGGAAAGTCAATCTCCAATTCGCTGCGCTCTAGCGCCAGGGGTTCTCGCTTCTTTGTTTTGTCTCTTGCTGCAGGGTGAAAGTCCGGACTATATATTAATCAATCTGGAGCTCCCCTCTTGCAGGTTTCAATTCAATTGTCAATTCGTTATTGTTGCAGTTGCCAGGCTGCTTTTCTCCTTTCTGTCCATCATTTCTTTTCGCTATAGTTTTGTTTCTGGTTTGTCAACTCAGCCTTCACTCGTTAATCACCTATATATCTAATTGCCTGTGGCAACAAATATCTCTATCCACTCCTTCCCAAGATCAGCGAGTCTGATCCCATCAGCCCTTGAGTAATCTTTTAGCTCCTCGCGGCTTTCCCTCGTTTCAACATGAAGTTCTACCAGAGCGCAGCCGTGCTCTGGATCATTATCCATCAAGCAAGCGCTACTGTATGTATCCTGAATATCCTCTAATACGAAGAGTTCAACGACATGGCTGACCGGAAGGATTAGTTCTGGGGCATTGGAAAACTTCCCTTCTTCAAAATTCCTTCTAGGTGTGACAATGTGTGTACGCCTGGCCAGGAGAAAGGCTACGATTGGGGTGGCATCAGTGTTGGCATCATCGGCCTTTTCGATGACTTCAACTTCTCCGGCTTCACTTGCAAGAACCTCCTAGATTTCAAGAAATGGACTGGCAAATTCCAGGTATGAAGAGTCCTTTCCCATTGGTTTCCCAACCTCTTTTTAACAACTTTGATAGGATAAATGCATCGAAGGGATTTTGGACAAGTCCAAATCACTCTCTCCGAAGATCATTTCTAGGCAGAAGAAGGGATTCTCGATCGATACGTTCCACATCACTGTTGATATTGATATCGACGTTGCCTTCGAATATAACATGCCCGATGGAAAGATCTGCAAAGAAATCCATCCTTGCTCTCCTGGAGGTTCCATCATCAAGAACACTCAGTGTGGAGGAGCCACCTCTGTTTCCTTCTTTATCCCCAGCTTTGTTGCCAAGGCGAAATGCAAGTTCGCCATCCACAAGATAATCTTCAAGTGCGGCCCTCCTCAGTTCACGAGAACTGTAATCCCCTCCTTGCCAGCCTCGACTAGGACCGTTGATGCCACCACCACCACCACCAACCAAGGCGACAGCACCACCATCACCCTCCCAGGCACAACCACAACCGTTGTTCTCCCTGGTGAAAGCACTACTGTTACTCTTCCAGGCGAAATCACTACCACAACCCTTCCAGGCGAAACCACAGCTACGACCATTCCCGGCGAAAGCACTACAGTTGTCGTTCCAGGTGAATCCTCAACTGTTACTGTGCCTGGCGGAAGTACAACGATTGTTGGTCCAGGAGATAGCACAACCGTTATCGTCCCAGGCACCACTACCCCGGCCGTCACTCCCACCGTCTCGCTGTCAACCTCAACTATATTCACTACTACTATCGTCACCATCACAGACTGCGCTCCCGAAGTTACGGACTGCCCAGCCAGCTCAGGCTCGACTGTCATTGTCACCTCTACGATCGCTGTTTCTACCACGCTATGCCCGGTCACAATCACCCCGACTCTGCCATCGGGCCCAACTCCTACCCCAGGTAACTCAGGTGAACCCTCTTCTCAGGTTACTCTCAATCCAAGCGGTTCCGAAACGAACGTTCCAGGGCAGCCAAGTACCACCGAAGGTTCTTCACCTGGCGAATCCACGCCAGCTGTTCCAGGGCAACCAAGCAATACCGGCAGCTCGACACCAGGCGAGTCTACACCAGTCGTTCCAGGACAACCAAGCACTACCGAAGGCTCTTCACCTGGCGAATCCACGCCAGTTGTTCCAGGAGAACCAAACACCACCGGTGGCTCTTCGCCAGGCGAGTCTACACCTGTCGTTCCAGGACAACCCAGCAATACGGATGGTGCCTCGCCCACTGAGTCGAAACCAAATGGTCCAGGTGTCGAGACCACTTCTCCAGCAGGACCAGTGCCAACCTCCCCATGCCCTGAGGTTGTCCCCAAGTGCTTGAACACATGGTTGGATTTGCTGCCCAACTGCAACTCCAACAGTGACGCCAGCTGCTTCTGTCCATCCTCTGAGTTTACCTCTGCGATCGTCAAATGTATCGAAGCCTGGGGCGCTTCAGATGAGGAAGTCCGAACCGCTATTTCGTTCTTCACTGGTATCTGTGCTGCCTACATTCCCAAGAACCCCGGAATCATCACACAGATTCCTACTCGTATCCCTATCGGCCCACCACCAACTGCAACAGCCCCAGCTGGCGTTACTGTTACCCAGACGGTTCCATGCACGACAATCGTTGTTTCCGAGGTTGTCACTCTACCTGATGCTCAAGTGTCTACCCTCACCACCCAAATCACCGTTCCCCAGGTTGCCTTCACCACCAACGGCCCCTCGGCCAACCCAACTGTTGACCTTGTCCCTGGTCCTGCTCCTGCGATTGCCACTCCCTCCGGCGATGCTGGTGTAGGTGCCTCGACGCTCCTTACTGTTCCAGCTACCGGTCCTGCTGGCCCCACGCCCACAGGCACTGAACTTTTCACTGGCGCTGCTGCCGCTGTCCCTGTTTCAGGTAGACTCTTATTCAGTGCTGCAGCTGCAGCTGCTGGTTTTATTGCCTTTCAGTTGATGTAATAATAAGATCCCTAGTTGATGTTGGGTTCCTATTTCTCTTATGCATATTCACTGTTTACTGTTTATTGTCTTACTCTCTCCGACTCCCTTTGGTTGAGAACAAAATGGACCTCTCTTTGCAGGTTGATGTGTCAAACACACTATTTTCCTTTTTTTTTTTCATTTCATCACGGTTGACGGTTATGGGTGCTGCGGTTTGCATCTCACATAGAGTGTAATTATTATGTGTTCTGATGTTTCGGATATAACGTTAACCTACATACTTAATCAACTAATTCATATACTTCAATTCGGCTGTGCTGAACGTCACATAGGCTTCGAGTATCATGTTCTTGGATCTTTGTAATATTTGAATATGTATGACACTATTTTCAGCTTTAGAATAGGCCAATCATAATTATGTAAATATTCAAAATCCGTTTGATCTCCCCTGAGATCAAAACACCGATTTAGTATGGGTATATATAAAGTGTACCAAGAGCTCTGGGAAGGCCCGTAATCAACGTTGGAGCGACCAACAGCCAACGATAGCGATGTCTCTTAAATAGCAGCAACACTGTCGCTGCCTCAACATGCATAGCCTACAAAGCCAGAGGGCAGAGACATCTGCTTTACCTCATCCAGCACGCTCATAAACGTCAGACCAACCTTAACCAAAAAAACCCCCTATCCAAAAACCAAACACCGCACCTCAATACTCTCCCTACCCCTCGCACCCACCGGCGTCCTCGGATCCACAAACGCCGTATGCGGCACCCTCCTCCCCACCACCCCCTCCCCCGAATCCGAACACTTCAACAACAACCTCTCCCCCTCCCCCATGCCCGACCAATAATACCACTTCTGCCCCGGATTAAACCTCACCGCGGCCGTCTCGCCCGTGCGGTCCGGATACCGATGCTCCACGGGCACCAAGTCCCCTTGCTCCACCGAGGTCGCGGACGCAAACGCCAACGGCATTTCCTGCACGGGCCCGTTGAGCGGACGCCAGACGTTGATGATGCGATAGCGCGAGCGGAGGAGGGTGTCGGCTTCGTCGGGGAGGTGGAGGCGCACGCGCGCCTCGGCGCTGGCAGGGGTCTGGTCGACGTGGGCGCGGGTGACGGGGGTGCGGTGGGCGGCGGGTTTGTTGCGGCGGACGGTGTGGTCGAAGATGAAGACGCGTTGGGCGCCGGGGACGTGGGTGAGGATGAGGTCTTCGACTTCTGGGTAGTAGACGGCTTTGATGTTGGCGTCGTCGGTGAAGGAAGGGTCGGCGCGGGAGGGGGGGAGGTGCTGCAGGGTCTGGAAGGCGTCTTTGTCAAGGGTGAAGTCGGATTCGTGGTTGCGGATGTCGGTGAGGGAGACGGAGTGGGGGGCTTCGGAGTAGTTTTGCTGCGGCTCGCCTGGCGGCGGCGTTTCGACGTAGTAGAATGGTTTGGAGCCGTCGGGGGGAGGGTGGTAGAAGACGATGGAGGCGTCGACGGGGCCGCGGGGGATGAAGCTGGGATCGTCTTGCGCCGGAGTCGAGCTGGCGAGAGTGGCGGTCGTAGACATGGCTGTAATAATTTATCAATGTGCAACTGGAGGCAACTTTTCTGCGGAAGGGATGGCCTGGATATAAAACTCTTGATGTGCTGTAGTTTGGGGACAATTAGATGTCAACCGAGGCCGGCATCACAGCTATTTATCCAGGCCACCTCCCCCACCCTTGAGGGACGATGTCACCCCTTTCTGACGCAGCTGAACCATTGCCAATGCCGCTTATCCAGCGAGGATTTGGAATCCAAATAACTGCCGAGATCTCAACCCAGTGTTTTGCTGTCTTTTTTGGCTGCTGAAATCGAATTTCGCGGAATAAAATATCTGATTAGTAATGTTCGGCATGACGTCATATGGTGCCATGTCTCTCGATTCTGATTGGCTGAGATTAATAATCCAAAAGGAATGGCGCTAAACTGTATCCGGAACCATTTCCGCTGCTTTGGCTGCTGAGTCAGAAACCCGTGCTGCTTTTGTCCAATCGGCTTCGACGGCAAAAATGAGGGAATTCAGGTCGAACAAGAAAGAGGAGACATCATAGAGAATGAAGCTGTACAATTCCCAACACTATCATTGTTAGATACCTGAAGATTACTGATAGCACAAAGGAACCAGCCGTATCAATCGAAGAACCAAACCTGCTATGTTCACAGAAACAAACTCCCGCCAACCATGCTGGCGAGCTGCCCAGAGCATGAACCAGCTGGGAATATGATGCAAAGGAGAGAAACAATCATGATACCCCAAGGGATCCAAAAAGGGGGTTGCAGGAGGAGCTTCTCCGCTGCACGCCTGAAACACCAAAAAAGTCAAGAATAAACAACAATATTTTTAACCCACCCACCTAAATCACAGCACATGTCTAAATGCCCTGGTTCAACTCCCCGATCCCCCCGACTCCACGATGCTGTTACCTGCTAAGATCAAAAACAAATATATCCGCAAGTCTTGCCTGGTCATCTAGTCGTCCTTCCGAGGATAGGCCCGAACCAGATGCACATCCATATCCTGAGGAAAGTCTGGGTGCAAAGTGCTGAATCGCGTGCAGCTAACTGTCATGTCATCGGACTCTGGGGGCACAAGCGTCTCAAGCAGGTGGTTGACAAGGCGCGTATCCATCCAGCCACGGGGCTTGGTCTTTTTCAGCTTCTCGATACGCGCGAGATCGTCTTCGATCTCTTCGGGCATCAGTGACGGTGGAGCCGGTGCTGTGCCGGAGCCGTTGGGTCGCTGGTGATAGTTGCCTAGGATGAAATAGGGCAGGTTGGGTCGGTTTGCGTTCTTGTCGGTGAGTTCGCCAAGAAGATTGAGACCAGCAGTGCCGTTGTGGCGGGTTGATCGAGTCGCGTGCACATTTTGGCTAGCGGTGCGTTCCATTTCTGGAGCAGCGCTGCCATCCTCCTGTCCGCTCGTGTCACCAGATGCTCCCCCTTCGTCGCCTGCACCTTGTGTGCTAGCGGCCCGTTTGGCGCGTTTCGAGGACGACAAGAAATGCAGCGCCGCCACGTGCGCTTGGTTACTATGCATCGCAAGCTCTTTTTCTGTGAACAAAGAGAGAATATTGTATGCCGGCGCGTTTTGCTGCTGATTCAATCGGGCCTTGGCGCGTTCCGCAGGAGTGGAAAGCCCTTCAAGGTTCGGTGATCCAAAGTCGTCATCCACCGGAGCTTTCCGTTTCCTCTTAATGGCTGTCTCCGCAATGATAGCGTTGCCCATGTCGTCAACATCGACCCTATGTCGAGTGTGTCTGGTTTTCCTATTGCTCTGTATCCCTCCCGGGCTCGCGGGATTGGTGATACTGAACTGATTTGGATGAAGGAGGAGGGCATTGGTATCCGCAACGTCGAGCTGTTCCTTCTCGCGCATTAAACGGTTCTTTCGTTGCGAGATTGACAGGCTCAGCCGCTCTCGGATCGTTTCCGTGAGCTTGACACATTCTTCGATGGCGAACCGGTGTCGGAACTCGCGGTCCTGGGATAGCCTATTGAGATTGTCACGATGACGATTCTAATTCACATTAGCAAACGGCCGTCGTTACTCCAGTCAACCAGTAAATGCGCAAATTTGACGTACCATGATGACAGTCAATTCCACATCCCTCTCTTCTTTGCTCCGATTTATCTCATCAACAAATTTCGAAAACCACTTTCCATTAACAGGTGTTTCAGAAACAGTATGCCCGCTTGCGGCGAGCTGCTTCAGTTGTTTCGCGACGTCTTCAGGTGCGTCACTCATGGGCCATTCATCATAAACTTCAGCATTAGCAATAAGCGCCATCTCATTCTGGAGCTCGTGAACATGCTGACGAAAGTGGTAGTCGCGGTTATTTGTAAAAGCTTCCCGGATGTCGTTGAGTCGATCGTGGATTGCCGTGCGTCTTTTGTCTCGTTTCGATAAGGGTGGAGCATGTTGCTGGGGTGTCGGTGAACGGGGGGTCAGGTTTGTCGTCGCCATGATGTGAGAGTGAGCCAGAGCGGCCGTCGTGGGAAGTGGGATACGTCGTCGCTGATAACAGGAGGTTGGGAACGGGCCACAGAGAAGGCTTCTCGCAGCGCTTAGGAGATGAAGGGGGAGAAGCGATTCGACAAGGAGTATGGAAGGATGATTCAGTTGGCAATGACTAGAAGCTCTAGCGGGTCAGCGTCATTGATGCGTCACTATTGACTTGAAGCATAACGGAGCTTGTGGTCACTGGCGGGAGGAACCGACCAAACAACATACCTTTTTACCGACCACGGTCACAATGCAGAAATCTTTTCCAGGGGGAAGACTATGCCTTTCGAGGATCCTCTATGGTGTGATGGTTACCAGTATATATTCACTCTCCGGGAAGATGCGGATATAAGCTGAGGAAGTATCCGATGTGCCCTGATTGTCTGATGCTCGCAGGGCACCCTGCTCAAGGCGGTTCGGTTCGCAGCGGTGAGGAACAGGAGAAAGGTCGCCGAAACGGTAGTTAGGGCGCAAAACTTCGTTCAACAAGCAGTAGGAGATCTATAGCTATTCGACGATAGGGGTTAGATAGCCGTAGGCGACTCAAGGCAAAGCCAGGCCCACAGCCGCTGGAGTTTTTTCTGTCGGGGTTCGTCTGAAAGCAACAGAGCGCAGATCAGGGACGAGGAAGCGAGGATGTAGAATTAAAAGGGGTTCTACTGATGGCGGGGGTGGTTATAACAGTATACCACAGCAGGGAGCAAGTGATGAGGAAAGCGTATAAAAGTAAACAGGCATTCTCCAGCGATTGCAGCGACTTTCTGGCACTTTGCTTCTGCTTGAAGGATTCGGAGTTTTGGCGGGCGAAGCGTGATGTAAGGGCACCAGGGCGGAGGAGGGCGGCAGAAAGGCCGTGTGTGATCACGTGGGTATGCGGTCTTGGCATCAAAATGGGATGAGAAGCGGCTTCAATGGGATTGAACACGTCAATAGCGGTGCTAGGTGAGGGTGTGGCGGAGCTGGATGGTCGGTTCTGGTCTTGGGATTGATTGCCGTGGGTGCTTGTATTGGTACAACTATGGAATTATGTAACTATTATCATGTACTCACTCCCTCCGAATCACATCAAAACAATGTGGCTGGAACGAGAGGAAGGCAAGCTTCAGAGGTGGCCCTCGGGCAACAATGAAATTGAAAACAGATATCAATAGATGAAGCGAAAAAAGGCACAGCATGAACGTGATTGAACAATGAAATCTTTCCCCTATCCGACTATTCAGCGTTGATTGATGGCCTATCTAACGAGAGCACTCCTTGAGGAAAAGCGTTTTGGAAAAGAAGGAGCTATCCTCACTCGTTGCTACTGTGCTAAAAGAAATTAGGTAGAAAAGAGAACATAAAAGCCAGCTTCGATTCCGCAGAACAGAGACGGAAAAAAAGCGAATCCATCAACAGTCTTGCGACTCGCTGGTGAAGGAGCAAGGGAGAAATGGGGTATTGTTCAAAGCAACAAACAAGATGAAAAACAAAATTATGCCCATACGAATTGCGTTCCCTGGCATCATCGCTTGCGTCGATATCGAATTTGAAGACCGAAAAAAAGGAAAAAGGAAATGGAGACGTCAAATATATCCCAGTATATTTTCACGCCTCTTTCTTTTGTTTATCCACGAGTGTCAAAAACCATCAAAAATAAAAAGCCAATCGTTGCCCTGTCGTACTCCTCCTGCCAATGCTTAAATCGATCTGCGGATCACAAACACGCCCAACTCCAGTCCGCAATCCGGCTCGAACCCATCAGGGTACGGCCGGTGGCGAACTCCATTAATGATTTCGCGCAACAGAGACGCACCTGTGACCTCATGAGTAGTAGGATGTCTCTGCGACGCGTTGGTCATAGCATTGTCCGGAAGACGGTGACCCTTGCGCCAGTAGTGGTTCAGTATTTCCCTGGCTCGCGGTGTTTCTTGCTGGATATACCATTCGGTCCAGAGCTTACGGTCAAGCGGGACGTTCGACTTTCCTGCGTAGGTCATAGTGAAGTTTGTTTTTCGGCAAGCGAGATTTGATGATGTATGGTTTTTAGAGCTGATTGCATCGCACAACGCCAGGACACGCGCCCTCATCCCTTCAAAATCATCCATGTACGCGATAGCTGGGAGACGGCCCAGCGCGTTACCCACATCCGACGAGATGCCATTGATAACGGCCAATTGGCGGAGGTGAGGGGCAAGGATGGGGCTCAGATAGTTATCTATGAACGTATCAGCTCCCTTTTTGGTGGGATAGATGAACATCAAACTTCCACCACCCGGAGAGAGTTCAAATAGCCGATCACGTAGCATCGAGGGCCCCTCATTCAAAAACAACGATCGATACTCCTGGGGCGAGGAGGGCGGGAGGTATCTTTCGACGATAGCTACATGCACACTGAAAGGAGGGACAATCGGGGTAGATATATGGTGCCCTGCCGAAGCTTGAAATGCTCCCGGATCAGAGTGGGGATACGATGGGACGGCTACTGCGCTTGAGAATATCGTGTTGCTGAAGTAATCATCTCCACCGAAGAGCAGATGGGGGGTGCTGGGAGGCGATGTTGGCAGGCTGCTGAGACTGAACATTGGTGGTACGGCATGAACGATATTGATGTAAGGAGAATCGTCTTGTTGAAATCGGTTTTGGATAGCTTTGACGATAGGTGTAAAAGCGCATTGCGGCAGCGCCGGCGCCGATGAATCCGATGGTGGACACGGAAGCGTTTGTGAAACCAGCTTTACAGATTCGCCCGGCGACTTGGGGAGCGGGAGCGATGATACTATGGGAAAAACTCAGTACGGTTCAAGGGTAAATAATAGTAGCCCGCCCAACATCACAAGGCAGACCTATTGATTTAACTGACCTAGGGGTAAAATGGCATCCTGTAGCCACCCGTCTGAGCTATCCTCAGGATATTGATTTTGGTTTGTGACACGCATCAAGCTTGTAACACTCTGGGCACCCTGCACAGCGAAAGCAGCTTGCTGCTGGCTTTTCTCAGGCGCAGAGTCTGATTCAGAACTCTCTTTGGCTGATAAATCTTCTGTGCAAGAGGTGGAATTGTGCATAGTAGTTAGGGGGTTGCTATCATGCGATGACAACTGGTGGAGAGGAAGCTGTGACTCTGGGTTCCAGAGAATGTTGTCTTCAGTTTCTGGAGGCGTGAGGGGCAGAGGTGAGCTGTAAGGATTTTCAGGTTTCAATCGGACAGAGGAAGAGGACAATGGAGATGCCATGGTGGAAGAACCCCCTAGCACGGAAGGATAGAATGTTCCGTCATTAGATCGCCGGGAGGACATCAGGCCAGGTGATGGGTTTGCTATTCCCAGTGACTCAAACGACAAGAGCTGTAGCTGGGGGTGCAGCTTTGGCGATAGGCGTGAGGATGAAGATGGTTCTGAGCGCAGAGAGGTGTTCGAGGCACTGCGCTTCGTCTTTGATGAAGGCAAGGTCGGGTGCGACTGGCTGTGGAACCGCTGGTCCCGGTAGAGCAAGCTGTTCCTATCTGACATTGTAGCAAAGGCTTTGCTGCTAGGATGCAGCTCACAGGAAACACTTCGACGGCCCGTTTTGCTCAGAGTATCAGCCGATTCGGAAGCCCAGCGTGGAGAGCAGAGCCTGCTCCGACGACAGGAGGTCAGGTCCGTTTCGATATACGATTCTGCGGCCGCTGCAGATGAAGCGAGGAGATTCTCATCCTTGTGCCGGTACATTCACACAACTCCCAACTCTCTCGCCAGGCCAGACAGCCTTGATGCGCAGTCAATCGACCAACAACGTGGTTTACTTTGCAATCCCGTGTCGGGTTGAGCAAGAGCCTTGCTGGACCGATAGCCTATATCAGAGGAGAAAGGCAGACCGGCGACGATTCGAATCCCAAAAGGGCAGCGAGATGCCCACTATCAATTCCACCGCCGATGATATCCACACTAGGAAAGGGGCAGAGGGGGTGGAGGTCGAGCAAGGGCGGAGATGAAGTGGTTGTCTGACGGACGAACGCACGAGAAGTCGACGTCGGAAGACTTTGACCAGCAGCTCGAGTGGTGCAGAGGTCGATGGATGAGGCAGCGAATAGCCGGAGCGACGATGCAGCAGCAGGACGCGGAGAGGGGTGAGTAAGCGGCAGGGCCTGGGGCTTGGGGGGGGAGAAGCGATGTGCTCGTTAGTTAGCTGGTGGAGTTTGTGAAGAAGAGGGTCTTGACGGGAGGAAGAAAGACTGTGGGCTTGAAGATCCGACTAACAAACTAGTTAATCGTCGATGGGCAAGCGAAGAAACGGAGGAACAAAGAGGCCGTCACAACTTGAACCAGAGCATCGAGGCAGAATCGATGAAGAACCCAATTCTGGCCCAACCGGCGATGGTTCATTGATTTGTGGTCCAGGGTTCCCAGGCGAGAGTGGTCTAGACCAACCCAGAGGGAGCTGCGCTTGCAATCACACGCCCAGCAAGCAACTCGATCGACGACCAGAGTTGAAGGCGAATTGGCCCCTGATAATGCACACAATAGTTGACTACCTTACCCTGGCTGGCGGACGAACGACGTGCAGGCTCGTCTCCTCTTGATCTCGGGACGCTTGCCCATCGCAGCCGCTCCACCGCCTACTTTTACGTTCTCGAGCGACATGATCGTTCCCGAGGCGCAGCCTTGAGTAACTCCGGCTTTGCCTATCTGCGTTTCTGAGGTTCTGTGTCCTCGTTGCCTCATGAGGACGCCCAGGTACTTTCGTGCGCCCGTGACCTGCCATGGTGATCATACTATACCCCAGCTCTCGCAAACGCATTTTACGATATAGTCAAGGTGTTTCGTCCAGATAACTGCCTCCTGATACAAAAATATTCCCGCCAACGCTTTGTCGTGCTGAGTGGCTGTCGCCGAGGCTGAATGCTCACCCGTCCATATGTAACTAACCCTTCCCTCCTGCGACGGCGAGAGGCTGAACTGAACGGCTATTTCGGGTGACATGCTCGCGAGGACCATCCACATGACTTTCCCTATCAGAATGCTGGTTTCGAGAGTACGGAATACCTGCCGCCTCCCCCAACAAGTTGTCGGCCACGGGTTTCCCTCGAAATCCCCGTTATCAGCACGGAGTATAAACCTGATGTTTGAGAGGCGCTTCTCCCATGGATCGAGAGATAATCTCACAAGGCCAGTGGGTCAAACTCTCTCCACTCATCCCAAGGATGAACCAGTCGATCTCCTGACCGAGCTTAAAGATTAACAACGTTCCAGCCCCGGGGCAGGGTCCGAAAAGGAGGAGAGCCGAACCATTGTTTTGTTTGACCACCCAACCATTTCAAGGTCAAAGTCCAGGGATCGTTGCAAGAACGTGTACAGAGTACGGAGTACAGAGTATTAGTTACATCTCAATGGTAGCCTCCAACTAGAGGAGCGGTACATGTCCACGCAACAGGAGGCAAATCCAACTTCTTCAAGAACGAAATCCCTCTCGACGGATACTAATCCAATAACTAATCCTGCAGGAGTCAATCTCGGAAGCTCTCTCAGGCTTCAGCCAAACAGCTGCAAGGCCTTCCATCCATCCGGCAATCACACATATCCCAACGGACAATGAATCCCACCGGCAAGCCTTGCACGGCTCACGAACCGCTCCATCCCAAAAACAAAGTCTCGAACAATCCTGAGACTCCAGAAAACCAAATCCGACCAGCAGATCATCGATGATTCATCAGTCCTCACCCACGTTTTTTTAGGCCCAGGAGCCGCACCAACGAGGGCCTGTGGATCCTGTCTCCGCTTGTGGTGGCGATTACTTCTCGAATTCCGTTTCGGTAACGGACTTTTTCGCCCGTTCGGTCTCCATGAAGGCTCGTGCCCAAAAGGGTTTCAAGGAACCGTGGATAAAAGAACAAACCCTCTTTCTTGTTGGCTGCCTATCAAGCTCAAGTTGTTTGACGCTTAGCCACGTTAATCTAGGCTTTCTTTCCCCCCCCCAACAGAGATGAGACGGAGGGACATTGGGGGAATTTTGGATCGGACCACGCAATTCGTCCTTTACGTGTTTCAGACTTTGTGCACAAAGGCGTTGAGCCATTTGACTAACTATGCACTCTGTATATATGTAACATTACCAAACATGGAGTACAGAGCGTCAGTTAAGAAGCTGATATAGATGGCCTTTTGAGTGCAAAAGAGTGGCCTTTTTTTCATGATAGAGGATCAGAAATGTGTGGGTGCTAATTGGAGGATACTTCATGAAGGTAGTCGGGAGAATCTTTAACCCTTCGGATTTGCTTAATGAATAGTTGAAGAATATGATGTTTGTTGATTCCAACAGTTTCACGCAGGAGATTGATCCTCCGTCTCCGTCTATTTATGAAAGCTGACGACAGTAGATCCTCTTTCTTCCATATCAATATTTTCTTTTCAGTCAGAGCCAAAGGAACAACCCAAAGGTTTTTCGAGGAAACATGGGGGGAAGACCCCCGAGAGATGAGAATGAGCAGACTCCCGGTCTTTCTGGGAGACGAAGGAAGAACAAGAGGAGAAGAGCATGCAGAGGATGAAGGCATAAGAGAAAGTGCAGCCCCTTAAATGAACTGTGCTTATGTGGAAGGATAGAGCGGCCAGCTTGGGTTCAATTTCCCTTGATTAGCAGCTTGATGTCGCTGGATAACCGTCCATTTCCACGCCCTAAGATGGTTCATATTCTTAGGCGCCACGGCGACTTGGTGCTTATCAAATCGATATCTACGGGAAGAAACACGCCATCTCTCGCCGAATTTAGTTCGTTTTCGGCCTCGGGCCCAGAAATATAGGTCATCACCGCGCTGAGCTTTTTTCATGTTTTCCTTGCCAAATAACTAAAGAGAGACTGACTGCTCTTGAGGAAAAGAAGCCGGTAAAAATCATCAATATGGTTTCTTCTCTGTCTTTTCGATTGCTAGATTTCAGCTAGTATCGGATGCTCAGTCTTTTGGAATAGAGCTTCTCTTCCCCTGTATTTTTCGCTCCCTGGCTGCTCTAATGAGGTAAAGGGGGATTGCATGCATGCTCAAATACGGAGTATTATCATCGTAATCCGTGAATCGTGCGCCCGCCGTTATTCTTACCCGCGTCAATTCGTCACTGATTGCTTTTGGGGGGTCGTATTTGCCCGCATTGCATCAATCGGCTCCGTCGGTGTTCAAGATCCTTTGATGCCGCCGTGGAATCCAGATGATCTCTCTTCTCATACTCCGGACGCCCGCTCACGAACTCGTTACATGTCTAAAAATCCCTGTAACATAGTACAAATCTTCTTGAAAGTTAATGGGTGCGATCCCGAAATAAGGAAAAAAAAAGAAAAGAACTGAGCAGAGGGATCCTCCCTTTCGTATTCGCTCCGGGGCGACCTGCAGGCTGCAAGAAACATTCGACGCCTCATCTGTCAAACACGGCTGGCTTTCCCGACATTGCGTAGCGGCCTCCCAAATCCGCCTGCCTGGCCCTGCCTGGCGTCCAATGACATGAAAGAGATTGACTCATTGACTTCGAGGCCGCGTTATCAGAAATCCAAAGTCAGGAGCACGGACGGATCGTCTGGCCCAATTGAACTTGCAAACAGTCATCCAATTTATCTGACTCGTGTGGATGCTGAGAAGCTGCCGGCACGATCGTTAGCCATAGACGATATATCAAATCATTTCTGACGGTCAATTCTTGCTCGTCACCGCCACTGCGAGTTCATCTTGTGATAAAAGTTGGCTTCGCGAGAAGCTGATGTCCTTGCAGACACGATCGGGACCAGCCTATCACGCCGTCAATGTGTGAAAGAAAAGCAGGATGTGGCACGACGGAGAGGTCCTCGAGCTCTCTTGAATGCATCCAAGCGATAGCGCCTCTCCTTCTCGCATTAAAGCCAACGATCCCACTCACCTGGCACCGAAGCAAGGGTTAAAAACGCCATCAAGCAATGACATGGAATGGCTCATAACCACTCAAAGTCCGTCCAGTTTCTCAAACATCCCTTCTCCTCCGGTACTTGAGAGATTTATTTGATGTGACTGCGGCCCTTCGCGAAGGGCCTGAGCGCCAGTCTCATCTTCCTGTTCATTTCACCGCTTCCGGCTTCGACCCCCCTCGAATGGCGGCCAACGGGTTTCCCGTCGTTTCCTCCTACAATGTTGTGGTGGAATGTCTCCTGTGCTCGGAAATTTGGCATTCGATTCTCCCTTCTTGTCAGCCTCGGCTTTACAATAGTTATACTGAGGACCCTTGACTGCACGTAATAGTCCAGCTTTCTGCTGTGTTACATCCAAGATGGGCGACTTGCAGAAGCCCGGATGGTATTGCAATGGTCGACCAGACTTCTAGACAGCCCATCATGGTGGGACAGTGTGCTGTGTTTTCAACGGCCCTGTCTTGTCAGAATCTGAGCACCCAATGAGCTGCATCATTTTTATTTACCTTTTCCCGCTTCAGGCACGGCCGTGGAGCCGCAGAGTTCGAATCATGTTTCGAAAAGAAAGGGACTGTGACACTCGCCAACCGCATAGGATGCTCGGCACTGATATTCATTGAAAAGCTGTGAATAGAATTGTTTCGGGGAGAGACAAAGTGGAGATACCTTGAAACTCGCGGAACCAAAACGAGAACGTTCACGGAGATACGTATTTTGCAGAAAATGCACCATTGGGTTGAGGAAGGACTCGGATTACCAGCGAAGAAAGGCCGGTCCAACTACGCCAGCCGCCGCTATGACCATGGACCTGCTTCTAGCTGCCCTCGAAGCTGCGGACTTTTGAAAGGGTTTTTTGCTTTGATAATAATTCGGCCTGCTCTTCGCGAATCTGAAGGCTCCGAAAGCGAGACGAGGGCTTCGACCAAGCGTCGCTCCTGGGCACGTCAGCCGATTACCTACCTACAAAATGCAAGCGGAGGACAAATCAAGCATTGTTGGCTGAGCTGGCGGATGCCTTTTCCAGTAAAGAAGCAGACTTTCAATCCCTCGTCAAATTTTGCTCGCCCCAGAATGTGTCTCTTTCGGACTAAGAAACTGCATATTGGTGCGATATGCAGGATCTACCCTTGCTAGCAGGCTCTACCGGTCGTGCTGTGGTTCCCCAGGCATACACAGATTGCCTGTCTATTTTCCAGCCCTGTCTCATCTCTTGGAATTTTGTTGCTTTCCATATCAGCTTCGTTGCCGAGAAGCTGGGATTCCACTTTGAGGGGCTAACAAGCGTTTTTCTTTCCATCTCGGTTGACTCTATTCCTAATAATGCGTTTGATAGCCACGGTACCTGCCTATGACTGAGTGGTGGTATCTCCGTTGAAAAGCCAAAGATGAGTTGAAAACAAGCCGGAAAACATTTTTTGGGAGTGGATTAACCAGACAGTCATTGTTTAACAGAGTGAGCGAAATAAACCTAAGACGGGGTATACCGGATATCAAAATACGGAGCCATGCCCAAAATGATATAGATCTTTACCAGCGCAAAGGAATCCTCGAGGTAGATTGCTAGTCCCAGAGTCTAGTTTCGGCGTCTGAAAGCGAAAGATGAAAGGTGCTCTAGGCCGTGATAGTAAAATAGACGGCAGCAAGGAATTAAACGAAGAAGTAGCTATACTTCGGTAGGCGCTCGCCGGAGCGAATTGCAAGTCGGCAATGGCTGAAGGATAGGGCACAGCTCCTTCATAAACCTGGATGGAATCGGTATATTCCGCACTGTTCAATGGTGCAGGTAGCACAAATAGGGGAGCGAGACTCTTTTTTCATGCTCTATTCGTTCGGAACGAGGAAAAGAGTACTCGCTTTCTCTTGGTTGCATGTCACTTAATCGTCAGTAGTCAATCCCATTGATTCATATTCAAATAACTGCTTGTAACACTTCAACCTGCCGAAAACCGTCAACGAAGGCCTGCAGCATCCGACAATGCTAAAGCTGCTGTAGACCGCTCTGCCGTTCCAGAAAGTGTCAAAAGGCAGATACTTCCGCGATACTTGGCAAACACCTGCTCAAACGTCCGTCCTGGCTGCTGTCTGATATGGCAGCCTGTGTTTCTTGCCCGTCCACACTTCATCGGCTTCGTCTTCCGTCAGAGCATCAGCAGCGAAAGAGTTGGCAGAAACCCTGCCGCAGATTCCGGGATCTTGCCTTGGGCCAAGGCGCTGTTTTCATCATCACTGGGTTTAGTTAGCTCGGCATATAGCAATGGAGGGACGAGGATTTACCAAGATCGAGTTCAAAAACCATTGCAAAAAGTAATATATCGAGCATTTTCTCTCCTTAAAATAGATACACGCCGGGGTCTAGGGACAGAAGATGGCGCTTTTGGGCCCCTCATCGTCGGCTGGTGAGGTCGCTGGGGCTAAAGATGATGGAAAGTTGGAACTGCGGACGACGTGTTTTGTCCCCTGAAGAGAAACACAGGCTTGTCCAGCAACAGGACGATTGCTGGTTACACTCCGCCTGCTGTGCTCTCTTGTTCGTCTTAAATCTTCCATTCATTCAAGAGCTTGTCAAGAGCCTTCCCTCGTTGTTGGTCGCAACGGTGTTTCTGTCGCAAACCTTGAGCTCCGTGGGTTGCGCGTAACGACACGACAGGCTTCACTCCCTCAGTTCGCTTCTGTTTCTACAGCTTCAATTCTTCACTCTTTCTTGCAGATTGTGCTCTGAAAGCCTTTGAGTTTAGATTGTTATGGGAGGTCTCTCTTGTTAAGATGAGGATTTTGTCATTTTCTGCCCTAGCAGCTCTCACTGCAGTCCTCCTCCAGCCGCACAGTGCCTGCGCCATTTCAAAAATCTCAGCAGTTGGCTCAAAGTTTTTCAATGAAGAAGGAGACCAGTTCTTTGTCAAAGGTGAGTTGCATGTATAAACAATGGCCTATGCTATTGCTAACTGCTGCTCCTGGAACCACAGGCATTGCCTATCAGCTCACTCCTCATGACCCTCTCATCAACACCACGCAATGCCGCCTTGATGCCAATTTGATGAAAGAAGTAGGCGCCAATGCCATTCGAGTCTACCATGTCGACCCTGACGGCGACCATACTGGCTGTATGAAAGCGTTTGCGGACGCGGGAATCTACCTGTTTGTGGATTTGGACGATTTCCCAACCCAGATTGAGCAGGTAAGAGAGTGTATCGCACCGGGACGTGTAAGGACCTTCGGGCTCACAGAGACTTTTCTTATAGGGCAACCCGACCTGGAATAAGACACAATTGGACGCGTTCAAGCGGAATCTGGATGAGTTCCAAAAGTTTGATAACACGGCTGCTGTATTCGTCGGCAACGAAGTCTTGACCACGAAGAATGGCTCACATGCGGCTCCTTATATCCTCTCGGCAGCTCGAGACATTAAGGCTTATCGTGACTCGCAAAATTACAGAAAGATTCCAGTAGGTTATTCCGCAGCAGATATCGCGGAGTTACGACCAATGCTACAGAACTACCTTGTCTGCCGTTCAAATGTCGCAGAGACCCTCGACTTCTTTGCACTTAACGCGTACGAATGGTGCGGCGATTCTTCCTTTACACGCTCGGGCTATTCAAACCTCCAGGACCAGGCAGAAGGGTTCCCTGTGCCAATTCTCTTCTCTGAAACTGGGTGTAACACGAACCGTCCAAGAGACTTTCAGGACTTGACTGCGATCTACGGTTCTGAGATGAACGGAACATGGTCCGGCGCAATCGTCTACGAATGGATTCAAGAACTTAACGACTACGGCTTGATAACGTACGGCAAAGCTTCCAAAGAGGACGCGGAAAAGGATGAAACCCGCACGGTCATCATGGATGGTTATTATCGCCAGGGCAAACCAAGTCCGATCACACCTGATTTTACTAATTTGAAATCCCGCTGGGCCACATTAACACCGACTGGTGTAGCTTTATCCGACTATTCGAATCAAGCATCCTCCGTTACTGCTCCGCGCTGTCCGGCGTCAACATCCGGATGGGAAGTTGATCCTAGTGCTCCATTGCCAACTCTTGGTCAAATGGTTGCGACCACCACCACCGGCTCAAAAGCCACCCAAGCAGGAACTGGAGCGACGTCAGCAGCGTCGCACAAGAACAGCGCAAACCAATTACTCCCGTCGCCGACCCCTGGGACCACGATATTCTCGTTCATGGCGGGGGCTCTGATTGGACTAGGCGGGATAATTGGTTGGTTGCTCTAAAAAGGCAATCGATCAAAATCATCAATCGCAGGTCCCACGAAACATCTTTTCAGATGCACAGGATAAGGAGTTGTGGCTCCTCGAGCATTTCTCGGTCTGGTTTGGGTTCTGGTTGGGTTCAAGATGGCGGCGTGGGGGGTTGTTTTTATGTGGAATATGGGGAATTGTGCATTTGTTTCTGTGATATTTCCTTTGTTCAATGTTCCTTCTTCTCAAGGCTATCGCGCTGAAAGTCTTTTGATTTCCAGTATTGATTAGCATGGCAGTTTCTGATGTTTATGATACCCATGGTCTGCTCAACACGAAAAATAGTCTCTTACACTATGTCCAACTCTTTGTTACATCCTGTTAGCAAGAAAAAGGAGGCGGTAAATAAACTTCTGATTTCAAGTGCAAATTTCGAATCAAAGTGATATAACTATGACTCTATCAGAAACATAAGGAGCTAACATTGCCAGACAGCGGCACAATAGCAAGTTGGAGAAATCCAACCAGGACACAGGCTTAATCAGAGTAGGTGTACATGCAACAGCAGCAGGTCTTGTCATCCAGGGAAGGTTTAACCGGAAAAATAATCGCTAAAGGGGATAAGGCAATTGTTTCAGTCTCTGGCTCGCTCTCCAACTCCCGCAATTCATCGCCTTGGGCGCCAGGGGGGTTACATCACACACGTTGGTAGTTGGGACATGACAATTTACCGATAAGAAAAATCGGAACAATGTTCTTATAATGTATTG